TCGCACGTTATCTCTCGCTCGTCATCCACACTTGTCATCATCATTCGCAGTCATCACCATCATCAGACGACGACGCGTCGCGCGGCTGTCTCTGGTGTGCTGTTGTAGTTTGGCATTGGCGTTTGCCTCATTCTTCACCTCAACACCAGTGTCTATCGCCGCCTCCAGCGTCGCAACGAACAGCAACAACAACAGCAACAGCAACAACAACAACGGAGTTTGCTTTGCACATCAACAACAACAGCACCCACAGCACCCACAGCACCCACAGCACCAAGACCAAGGCCGAGACAGGATGGGCGCACGTGTGGAGGTGGTACCGGCGTCAACGCTGTTTGTGTCGGAGCCCAACCCAGCCTGGTTTGGAAACCCGTCCAACCCGAAAGGCGACAGCCGCTGGACAAACGCGAACTGGCTCAAGAGCCGCTTCCACTTCTCATTTGCAGAGTACCATGACCGCAGCAGGAACAGCTTTGGCGTGCTGCGCGTCATGAACGACGACCTCGTGCAGCCGAACCGCGGCTTTGGCACCCACCCGCACGCCAACATGGAGATTTGTACGTACGTCGTCAGTGGCAAGCTCACTCACAAGGACTCCATGGGCACCGAGGAAACCCTCTCCCGCGGCTCCATTCAATTCATGACCGCGGTGTGTGTATATTGTGTGTGTGTGTGTGTGTGTGTGTGTGCGTTGTGGGGAGGGTGTGTGAAAACATACGTTGTGTGTCCCTTTTTTGTCTGTCTGTCTGTTGCCTTGCCTGTCAGTCTCTCTCTCACTCACTCACTCACACACACACTCTCTCTCCCTCCCTCTCGCACACACTCTCTCCCTCCCTCTCGCACACACACACATACACACTCTCTCTGCCCGCCATCAACGCATCAACTTTTGAGTCTCATCTGTGCCTTTCATCACGCCAACACACCATCAACAGGGCACTGGCGTTCGCCACAGCGAGCACAACAAGAACAAGCACAATCCTCTGCGATTCATCCAAATGTGGATTGTAAGTCGACACACTTGTGCACTTGTGCACGTAGTTGCTGGACGGCGAGGTGGCTCGGGAGGGGATTTGAACTGTGACCGTGTGCACAGCAATGGCAATGTCGACCCAACGCGCACACGCGCATTCACACACACACACACA